GAATCATTTTTAAAAGGTTTAGCAAGTTTTCTAGATCATTTTTGTGCCAAACATTTTCAAGGAAACATATATTTCTTTAGATTTAAGAATTTCTCTACAGCATTTGTAAGCCTTGGAAAAAATATATAGAAAGTCTTAGTACCTTATTTAACATTGGTAATATCGATTGCGTAGATTAAAACAGTACTAAAAAACCTTTGGAGTAAAAAAAAATTGGTTTTCATTTATAAAACAAATTTGGAAGTCTTGAATTTAATTATCCTAGAACCCATATACCCCGCCAAAACTAAGGGCAAAGGGTATTGGATCGCGTAAATTACACAGCAAAACCCAACAAGTATGAGAGAGAAAGAGAAAGACATTGGCTAGCAACAGGCTACTGGCAACAACAAAAATATATATACATACATATATAATAATGGTTGTAATGAAATAGAACCTCAACTGTGGACAGGGGCGTAGTTAGCAGGGAGGGTACAAGGGCATTACCCCAAGGGGTAAATGATGATTGTATTAATCAAGCAAAAGGGGAGACATCCAATATATGTATATATAAACCCGATGATATATGTAGAAAAGAGTCAAGGAAGGGGCCCCACATCTGGTGCGATTCAAGTGAATCAAATAATTGTAGTTTTGCGAATGGATTGAAATTATAAAGAAGCCACAAAGGGGGGCGGGATCGGAAAAAGGCAAAAACATCATTTGGGCGTTTCAACATCTAAAGATTGATATACATACGCAAAGAAAAAATAATACGAAAGATCAGTAGTAAAAAATTATGATCATTGCTTCCTTTTTTTCAGATTTATGAGAGGTGAAAATATTTTGAAGTATACATAAATTTTATAATCTAAACATCCTTCTCAAAAACCATAAATTTAAGACTTTTATTTGGCTTTCTTTTTATGATATCCTGTTTTTTTAAGCAATGTGACTTAAGAGCTTTTATAGATAGTGGGAAATAAATAATTAGCTTACACATTTATCATTAAAACGTATTAGATCTTTACGAAAACATGTAATTGAAATCTTTATAGATTATCCCAAATATGTTGGGCAATTTCTCTAATTCCTAATGGACTCTAAAATAAATCATTTGAAACTGGAAAAGTTTATTTCAAAATTCCCACACTGACGCTACAACAACACTTAGTTTTTTTTTATGATTTTACATGGCATTCAACACACATATTCTTTGTTATTTCCTCATAGCATTGTTTTATTTGCTTATCGAATGATTCGCTCCCAGTATAGTAATTTCAATTTCCCAAGTGTTCAATTAGCTCACAGATCGATATTTATACATTACTGAACCGCCAGCAGCACCCACAATTGTTTATCGGGAATTCCATATTTATAATACAAGATGGATATAAACAACCACTTCTAGCAGGCCCCACGATATGGAGACACAAACAGAGAAACTGGAAAAAAAAAAACACAGAGACGGCATCAGTTTTCAGAATTGGGTCAAGTTTCGGTTTTATTGCCCCAGCAGCAGCATGAGTGTGTGTGTGTTGTTTTCCGGGAGGGGAGGGAAACCTTCGCATTTGTTGGATTCGTTTCCTCCAGGGCACGCCCTGGAGATGATGCTCCTCTCTGCATGCGTGTATAATTTTCTTTGATTAAATCATAAAATATGCAAAAATACAAAGGCCCGGAAAATAAATGTACAACAAAAGTTTTTCGTTTTTTTTTTTTCGGTGCCCAAAAAGGCGGAAACTAGGTCAGAGTTTGGGGGCTGACTGCCCCGAAAAATACATATACATATAAAAGCAAAAAAAAAATAAAGACAACAGTGCGAAGGCAATTCCAGTGAGCTGAGAGTTATAATAATTTTGCGGTTGCCATGTCGTCTCACAGGGCGTATACGCAATATACGCAATTTCTACACGGTAGTGTTGCCAAAGTTGGCTTAAAGGTCATCAAAAGAGGCCTTAAAAATTATGTCAAATTTATTTTAATTAGTAAAATTAACAAATTAATAGTTTGGTGTAATTATAAGTCTTTATGTTGAACAGAGTTATAATTTCTGCGGTCAAGAAGACTTGTTAATGGGTTAAAATATTACCGAAATCTACAAAACTGAGACATTTTTAGGGCCTTATACCTTTTCTGATAGTATTTTTTGACACAAAATTGTTAAGAACTGTATCTTTTTGCAAAAAAAATTTCGAAGAACTGTATCTTTTTGCAAGAAAATGGTTACAAATAGTATATAAGAATATTAAAATTATTTAATTGTTGGAATTCTCCAGGACTTTAGATAAAATGTACAGGCATACTCAACCATAAAATGGCTTAGCATTTCAAATAAATAATATGTTTCCTACAAGAAGAAACTGTTTATTTTAAGAACTATATAAAATCCATTAAGTAACATAGAAAGTAGCCCAAAATGTTTGGTCAAAATACGCCCAAATAAGGTCATCTCTGTACCTTCTGAGGCCTAAAAGGTCAAGCTGCTGGCAGCGTCAATCATCAGCAGCAGAAGTGGCAGCAACCAGCTGTATCCGAAACCGAATCTGAATCTGAAGCTGAAGCTGAATCTGAATCTGATGAGAGGCAGTGGCAGTGGCACAGCGACAGCATTGAGATGGGGTGACGCAAGGGAGACACGAGACGCGGGGCAGGGAGAAGGCGAAACGACCCCGGCAGAAGGCGAGTTGCGGGGCAATTAGCGCGCAATTGACCTACATTGGGGCAACATTAATGGTGTCAATAGTAAACGAGACTGCCGACAACGACGACAGCGACTCGCTGCTCTCAGTGTGCTCTGCTCAGTTCAGTTCGCTCGATTCACTACTGTATAGTTTTTATATAGTTTTTTTTTCTTTCTTTTTTCGGTTATAGTTCGGCGAGCGAAACACCGTTCAATGTTTATGCACACACACAGCAAAAATAAATAAATATATATATATAAATACATAAGTAAACCAAGGGAGCAGCATAAATTCCAAGTGCAATCAGCGTAGGAAAACAAATTACACACTTTTCGAATTAGGCCTCACCTTCGGAAAAGTCTGTAACATAATCTATCTGTGCGCCGCACCAGAAAAACCTTGCCCGACTCAATTATTTTCTGTCAGTGTCGCTGCCGTGCGCCTTGTGACGTCAGTCAGCGACAGTGAGACACTAGGAAGCGATAATACATTTATTCTTTTTTTTTGGGTTTTAGGAAAATTAAATAGAGGAATATGTATAAAGTATATAATAAAGAAAATAAAATAGGAGAAAGGGGGATTGTTCCATTCTGAGGGCTAAAATATGCTAAGCTACATATTAGAGAAATGACTCAACAATTTATCAAATTAAACATTAAAATGTAGGTTTTAGAAATATATTATATAGTAATACATAGAATAATAATAACAGAGTATAATAATATTACTATTTAAATGTTATTAATAAATACTAGGTTCTTCTAAACCCAGGTATTTGTATACTTAATCAACACTGTTATAAGGAATGTCTCACAGTCCTTAACCAACACTAACAAAGTAATGTGACCGCTTATGCACTTGACCAACACTATTATAAGCAATCGCAGAGTACTTAACCAACACTACTTATAATGTTAAATTACTAATTTAATGTAAATGGAATTTTTACTTGACCAAAACTGCTGTAAATAATGACAGAGCTTGACAAGGGTCTGATGTGGCTAAAAAAATAATTGCAAAATTCATGTGTAAAAGTAAAAAAGTTGTTTAAATGTTTGCTTTTATTAAGAAAACATTTATGAACAAAGTAGTGCTACTTTAAATATTAATAGCATATCACATTTAAATAAGTTAATAAAACATTAATCCATTTTATTATTACAAAAAGAAACAAATCAGTGTTTTCTATGTGCCCCTTTTAAAAATAAACATGCATTTCATATCTAAGTTTCATAATACCAAATTGTATAACAAAAATTTACATGCTAATGAAAACATATGCAGAATATCTATGCCATACATACCAAAGGTATGTAAAAACATTTCAGCATTTTCTTGTTGTGGAAATTCAAAGAGTGATTAGGCAGTTTTTGCCCCACCACCAAGTACGATGAGAGAGTATTTACAATCAAGGAATCTTGGCCAAACAATTAAGAGCGATGCGTGCGATTTCAGTTGTTGCTTTTTTTACTCAAGAGACAAGCCCCCCCACCACAAACACAACCCACAACACACTGACACACACCTCAGTGGCAGCAGAGAGGCAGAGACAGAGACAGAGGCAGAGCTAGTGGCAGCGGCAGCAGCATGTAAGTTGTACACGATAAATGAGAAATGAGGTTACCTACTTTTTAAGAAGGTCAATTCGACCCAAAACAAATGAGCGAGGCAACGCGAGGCAGCGACGCTGGCAGAGGGAGAGCGACGGCGAGAGAGCCAAGTGGAAGCTCAGTGACCATGTGAGCAGCGTCGACTGCGCTGCCAGAGGAACGAACGTACCACAAACATTACAGCAAACGCTTTCAATGAAAACAAAAGTAGTACACGCTGCCGACAACTGAGGCTGAAGCTGCCGCTGACGTTGACGTCGAGGTAAACTGCGACTGCAACTGCGACGGCGACCTGCAACGCTCGCTGTGACAGCGACGTATGTTAACGCCTCCGCTGACGTCAGCGTTGGCGGCATATTGTAAGTGTCCAAAGTTGGTGACGAATTCCGATTCCTAAACAAAATTCGAAATTCGAATTCGGGGCTAAAGATTTTTGCGGCCGTTGGACGAGGGCGACTGCGCAGCCGACGCTGCGAGGGCGCGGCCAACGTCCAGTGATGCCAGCTTCAGGCTCATAACTTTGTCCAGTGATGCCAATTTTGAGCAATATTCAGATTCAAAAATATTTATAATTTAAAATCAGTTCATAAAAATTTCCCCATTTGGTGTTAACTTTTGAACATTTAAGATAATTTTTTCAATTGATATTTATGCTTTACATCAGCTCAAACAATTTTATAATTTAATTTCTTCTCATAAATTTTATCTAAAAATTTTTACTTACAAAAAAATAATTATTATACTTTTTAATTTACAATTTTAGTGGGTCGCCGCCATTTGTTTTTGCAACTGAGCTTCTCTCTTGCCATCGTGTTTTTTCCACTTCTTAAAAACCTTTTCAAATTCTTTTAATCGGGATTTCTTGTCCTTTTCCGTTTCCGGTTCTTGACCCAATCCTTCTTCATCAATTTCATCCTCATATCCATCTGGCGGTAAAGCATTATAATAACTATTATGGAATGCTGATCGATTTCCATCACCAAAGGAAAACTTTTTATCACGCTTATACATATAGTCATAGTTTTTGAATTCCAAGCGATCCTCTTCCGATCGATGGCCAAAAATCAATAGCGTTAGTATGGCGATTAGAGGTAAGGCCAGATAAAGTGAATATTTTTGAAAACGACTTGCATGGTGAGCTTGTGGCGCTAAATTGATTGTGACTCATTAATAAGTTGGTAAAATAACTATGGAGAAAATACTAACGTTTTTTTTCTTTCTTTCCTTGACAATCAAGAGCACCTCCTTGAATTTTAGTTAAAGGTACTTTCTTTTTACTTGTTTTAGTTGGACCAAGTTGCTTGTAAAGTATTGATTCACAATTTGCCTTTTGGGCTTTTGATTTATTACTGCCTGATGGTGGTGGGACACAAGGTGTTTTTGGATTACAATCGGTTCCACCGGAAATAACAGTTTCGTCTTTCGGCGGTGGTGCCTCTTTTTGGGGTTCATCTCCTTTTGCAGATTTAGATGGATCTTCTTTAGCTGACTTAGTGGGATCTTTTGCAGCTTTAGTTGGATCTTCTTTTCCCGATTTAGTTGGAACTTTTGCAGCTTTAGTTGCATCTTTAGTTGCATCTTTTGCTGATTTAATTGGAGCAGCATCTTTTGTCAATTTATTTGCGACAGCATCTTTAGCCGGCTTACCTACCGCAGCATCTTTATCCGGTTTACCTGCCCCAGCATCTTTATTCAATTTACATTCGGTTTCTACTTCATTAAACGCTTATATTACAATCATTTTGGTATAAGTAACTATTAAACATTACCCTTTTTTGTTGGATCCGCAGATTTAGAGCTGTCAGACTTTAAGCGTGAGGTGAAAAAGGCTTGGGTGAGGTGTGGTTGGTATAGTAATGCATAATTATTTAATTTTAAAGCCTTCTTCATTTTAACACCGAAATTAGACTATTTTTTAGGGAGAGGTGTACCGAAATTTCAATTTGGAAGCATAGCTTTTTAGAAAATATATAATAAAAGGCCTACCTAGCGGCATGAAAATATATGACATTTTATAGGAATCGGATAAAATCATAAATACTACACAAATTATAGGTAGTAGATATGAGATGTAGGGTTCCTATTCATATTGTTGCGTGGTAAAGTTCTACGAATGAATAAAATAAAGTCTATACTGATAGTTTTCCCAAAAAAATTAAAGACTTAGAGAATATAGAGAGGCTAAAATATGTCTAAATCGGCTCGGCTAGTGACGCTAATTTGTTATACTCAGAAATATAAGACTCTGAATGTTGCGTAAAAATAATTCCCTAACTAAAAGGGCAAAAAAAAAGGAAAATACAAGACCAAATCGACTCGACTGGTGATGCAAATTTTCTATATTGCTAAAAAATACAAGACTCTGCTAAATAAGGATCCTGAAGATTAGATATAGCCATCAAAAAACTCTCTTATAATCTGATTTTGGTCGACTTTCGTAATCCCAAAGTTTGTCAGCACTGGTGACACCTCCAAACCGTCCAAAGCGTGCGACGCGACGGCTTGTAACGAGGCTAAATCGGAGCAGAGACAGAAGCAGCGACAGAAGCAGAGAAGCAGCGACGCCAACGCTTTTCATCAGCTGCATTTTTGTCGCTCAGCAGCGCGGTGAGCTCAGTTCCGTTGCGTTGCGTTGTTTTGCTTTGCTTCTTTTGCTTTTTGTCTTTTTTTTTTTTTTTTTTTTTCTTTTTTTGCTTTTTACTCTTAGCCTCCACCTCCTTTCGACTTGTGTGCATTGTTTTGTCGCGTTTTGTTGTTGTTGTAAACATTATTTCTGTTTGTTGTTTTTCGCATTCGGAATAATGTTTGAATGCGATTGCGGGCGAGAATGAAATGCTGTAATTGCGATTAGTTTGGGATTGCAACTGACTTTACCGAAACAGCTAGTGACGAATGCCATTATTAATTGACCTTTTGCACTGTTGTTGTTTCCCAATGGAGGTTCTTTTGATCAAAATTTAATGAGTTTTCTGTACTACAATTAATTAGTTTACAGGTACTACAAGTATTTAAATGGCTTTATAAAGAAAACTCATACTCAATACATAAAATAGAATCTACATTTGCACTCTTAGATGTCACTCACAAATTTCCCAACCCTCTTTCAAGGGAAAATGTTTTAGAGGAGCCATGAGAATCAGTGCTCCACTCGACCCATATCGTAATACCCTTGGTATGGTTAACCAATTAGGTTTGCCAGTGATAGGCCGACATAATATGGCAGCAATTTGAATCAATAAGTCCCTGCCACTCATGGGTGTGTGTGTGTTGTGTGTGTGTTGGCCCGATTGAAGGCATGAGGGTCAATGATTGTGGCTTCGTTGCGGGTGGCTGACAACCTCACAGATACTAAACACAGACACAGCTACAGATACGGAACACGGGGATACAGATACAAACACAATACCCTCGAATTGTGTCATTGTTATCGGGCGCGGAATCCGTGAGTTTTGTGGCATGAACATTGAAACGAAATCATGTCATCGATATAAATATAGAACGAGTAGAATATGTGTGTGTGTGTGTTTTTAGGGTGTTTTAAGGTGTATCAGAGGTGGTAGAATGAGTGAATTAATATCCCCACCCCCCTTGTGGGGAAAGTCTCCCGCATGGAAATGGAAATTTTATGATTCAAGCTTATTAGGAAAAGGACCTTCAATCTAGGTGACCACATCGATTTCCCCATTTCAACAGGTTCTAAGTTCATTTGACACACTCGTCGGGGCATAAGAACCTTGCCAAATACCATATTGAATGTGTCAAAAAGGAAAATATTGAGTAATATTTTGAAAATGTCATATTTTTGTTGCAAACATTTCTGGTATGCAAAGTGAGAAATTCCTTGCTAAAGCCAATTATTGGGTAACCCAACATGAAAGGAGACATATTCTTATAAATGTCAAGAAAATTATTGACTGTGCTATGTTTTCAGACCATAAACATTATTATAATCCCAGCAGTTTTGTATATTTTATACATTTTATTGATATAGGAGAATATACGTATATTATTAATGTTTACGTTGTTTTTTAAATGTTGGGAAATTCTATATAGGTGTGTTTTTTTGGGATTACATGAAGCCGATTTTTATAAACCCTTAAAGTTTGCAAATGAATTGTAGGATAGAATCGGATATCTATAACAAATTAGTTTAAGATATTCACATACCTTAAATCGATTTTATCAATATTTTTATATGACACTTTTCTCGAAAAAATCAAATATTAAAAAACTCATAACTAAGCCAAAAAAGCATTAATTTTAATTCGAAACCCGTTCCTGTCTTAGTTTTTATAAAGGTAATAAATCTGCATACTCAATTTATAATTTAAAAAATTAACATTTTTATCATTATTTTTGACAATTTTAACTACAAAAATTTTGAAAAAAATGATTCAATTTTTTTACTGCCACAATCATGCTAGATCGATTCGGCTGTTGATGCTGATTAAGAATATATATGCTTTATAGGGTCGGAAATGATTCCTTCACAGTTTTGCAATCATCTGACTTAAATGAGGGGTATAATAACTAAGACCTCTAATAATAATTCCACCTATCTTTATCAATATAGAAAAATCACATCACATCTTGCAAAATGTTGACTTCACATAAACAAGGAAGTGCACATGATGACTTTTGTGTGTCATGTTTAACTACAAAGCTAAGTTGCGAGTAAATTACACCCCCCTACCCCATTGGGTTGTGAGGGTTCCCTTAAAGGTTTTCGCATTGAAATATTATCAAATGCAATTACGCAAAATCATAGAGCAAAACGACCTTATCGCGGCAAATTGAAATGGCAGCATGTGCAGGTACAACAACAGCGCTTTTGTAACCCACGATTACAACAACCCAATGTACACACACAACACAAAACACAACACACTAGCTGGCATGTAATGGTAATTACAAATGGAAACACCTTCGCACAAAATACTGACAAATACACAACAAAAAGCTGCCACCACACACTTCCTCATAGACAATTTAAAAAAAAATACAAAACTAGTACTAAAACAATTCAAATAACCCGTTACAAAAACAAAACACACACAAGAGAGGGGGCGGTACGGGGGGAGAGATATGGAGATTACTAAGAGTGTGCATGTGTGTGCCCTTCTTTTTCAAGCTTCCTCTCTCTGTCTCTCTACTTCTCTCTTGCTCTCTCCCTCTGTCATTCACCTTCGGTCAAATGAATTAAAATGAATTAGCACGAGGCTCTCTCACTCTCTCCCCCTGCTATCTTAACCTCTCCCCCTGGGTGAGTGCAAAATAAGAGAGCCAAAGAGAGCACAGCAGGCATGTTGATCTTTGCTGTTACTTTCTCTCAATAAATAGTGAAAATCAGGGTTTTCAAAATGCAAAAAGACATTTTCGAAAAACCGTGAAAGTGTAGCCCACACAAGGGTCACTTGTGGCCTCTCTTTTCACTCACTCTCTCGTCTGATGATGCCTAACCCTAAACAATATGTAATCATTCCCATCTCTGTAGCCCCCCTTTTCTTTTCAAAGGTTGCAACAAATTGCAATTACAATTACGACAATTGCAATGAGTTTTCTAGTACAGTGTGTACTCAGTAGAGTGAATACTGTACCAAAAACAATTCAGCTTGAAGGGCTCAGAGGCAGAACTGTACTTTGTGATATTGTGTACATAAGTGGTCCCACTTTTTTGTCATGGTCACTTTTTTTTTAAATAGAGGAAGATTCAAATAAATATATCACGAATTCCATAAATTTGTTCTATAATTCATAGACGAACGATAGTTTAAAAGTATATTTTTAATACTTAATTTTTTTTTTACTAAAGTAAACCCCATTATTTATTGTACACCGTATTTTTTCTAAAGAAAATTTCATTTCACTTTATAAAATCGGGGGGTCAACTGAGGCGATATTTATCTCGTATCCCATATGGTTTGCACTTGACTATAACGGTAATTACATCTAGGCACGGCATTGCCCCTGAATCTTAATGCAATGCACACACACACACACACACACAATAAACACACACGCAACTCACACACGTGCACATCAAATGTTGCATTTTCGTTTGAATTGTTTCCTCGATTTCGCGCCACTCGCCTTGTTGATTTGTTATTGTTATTGTTATCGTCGCCGTTGATGTATTTTTTTCATCGCTTAACGGTAATCGCTTTAATGACGACATTGAATTTTCGCTGTCTAGCGTGGGCATCACTAATTGATCTTTAGAGATCATCCAACTTGATGTGAGATTTCGCATTGGCATGAGGGATTTTCTATTGAAATTCGCTAATGACAAGGTTCATGGGTTTTAATGATTAATAAACAGTATTGGAGTACTTAAACTCGATTTGCTTGTACGTTGCAAGAAAAGCGTGCAGGATGAAGCGATAAAGACAAAGGAGTATCAAAACAGCAACAATATTTAGGCATAACATAATAATCATTGCGATAAATTACACAATAGTTATATCTCGTTCTATGATAAAGCAATAAAAAAGATACTGCATTCAAGATCTTATCTTATCTAAAAGAAAAGGCTTGTAAGCTTGAGGGACTACAAATATCACTATATTAATCATCGTTCTCTTAATGATCACCAGAAACAGCAATAAGTTTTTGTAAATATTTTCTAGTTTTTCTTAATTTTTAAGAAATACCATATAATTAAACAGGTGAGTAATTCTTACCTGGCTAGAGCCATTCTAACATGAGAGAGCCCTCCAAGAGGCAACGCCAGGGTATCCACTTTGAAGGTTTTTCTTCAACAACTTCCCGAACTCAAATGGAAAAATCAAAACGTTTGCTTTGATTTTTCAAGCTCCCTTGATGATGGTTTTTTTTACTAATTTGTTAAATTACTTTTTTATTGGTTATTTTATTTTTGGCACTGTATTGAACAACTTTTTGGATGTGTCTTTTTCTGTAGTTAGCACACGAACGTCATTTTGTTTACTATCTAAACATTTTACAAGAACCAAGATTAGATATTTAGCTTTTGGCATTACAACAACTCAACTCCACTTTAGGAAAAGCTTTTCTTTATCAAACCTCAAGTATGAAAAATGAGATATCCGCATCCAAATATAAATATATATAAAAAAAAGTCAGAGACATAAATTTTATCACATTCAATTGTTCAGCGAACGTGTGTGTCCATATAATGAGCAAGTTCTGGACAACCCGTCGCATACGTGATATTTGCACGCGAAATAATCAAAAAAGCCAAACAGCACACTAACTCACACACAAATATAATCGCGTCTCCGGCACCTCACTCACACACCGAAAAAGAAGGGTGAAAAAACCAGCGTACAATGTTCAATGCCAAATCAAAAATATAAAAATAAAAATAAAGCCAGCAACAACAAAGAAGATACTGAATGAAAAAAAAAAAAACATCAAAAAATGATTCAAGTTATCAGCAGCAGCATTTTTTTCGTTCATTCTTCTTTTTGTGATAAGCTTTAAATTAAACAAAGACACACAGATTGCTCTTGGTATAATAAACAAAAGGAAAATTAACAATTTACCAATAATCAAGGTTCTGAGTTTGAAATTTGGTACCCAATATCTTTTACTATTAAAAGTGCGATAACAATACTATAAAAATGTTGTAAAATAATGTGGCCTTGAAACTAATTTCGAATAAAATAAGTTAAGTAAACCCAGGAAAATCTTTAAAGAAAACTCAGTGTTCGTACTACAATCTATTTCTTTCTTTCCAGGCCTTGGGCTTTAAAACTAACTTATTGAACATTCTCATGAAATTCCTTTCTATATAATACCTAGATATAGAAGAAATTTCCTTGAAAACGTAGTCCTCACTGTATCACTCACTCTTTGGAGCAACCTATTGCCCTCTCTCGCTTTCCAGGTCTCTGCACATGGCCCACCGGCATTAAGAAACGCTCAGCCTCGGACAAAACAAAAAAAAACAGTAATGAAATCAATAAATACAAATATAAAAAAAAACTAGCAGAAAACGCAGAAGAAGAAAAAGCGAAAGAAACACAAACGCTTCCGCAGCTGGCCGGCAAAATAAATCAGTGCAAAAGCAGCTTTTTGGAGGTCAACATTGACGCCCCAGTCGAGACTAGAAGAAGAACCCTATACATCTCCTGCTAAAGAATCTACTGTAAGACTCTCAGAAAAATAAAGAAACAATATGGGAGAGTAAGCATAATGGATTGAGAAACTAAATAAAAAAATAAAATAAAAAAAACACAGAAACTACACATACTAAATTCCATTCCATAGTCATGAGCATACAAGGTTCTTCCTATATCACTCGATTCCACTTTAATATATACATACATACATACGTACATCCATGTGTACATACTATATAGAAAAAAAGCTTGCGGAAAAAGCTTCGAGTGTCTTTGCAAAAAAGTAAAAAGAAACAAACACAAAAAAGCTGCGCCGGCGTTTCCAAGCTGACCTCAGCTGCTCATTTACCCTAGTCGAGTGCGAGCGGGATGGAGCAAAGTTCTCTCATTTATAAACAATAAACAAAAATATTGGACAGAGGGCAGCGGCAGCGCACATGTTTTAATTGAACTGCCCCGCCGAGAGCTTTTTTTGGGCAAGTCGAACATGTGTCGTTTTATCGCCGCCCCCCACCTTGCATACACTCTTTCTCACTCTAACGTTTTCGAGAATGTCAATGCTATATATTTTGGTATCTCGCCCATCTGGCAACTCTGCCCAAAAAAAGCTCACATGTTAAACAAACACAATTTAATTGTTGTATAAATTTAATCAAAAATCGAACGGCTTTATAAACATGTGATTTGCGTCATAGCCAAAGGAAAGAGAGAGTGGGCAATACGGCCAAGTAAAAGAGACAGGGCTAGAGAGTATTAGAAATTGAAAAGAGAAAGAGCGAGAGCAAGTGCCGGGTGTCTTGAAAAAAGCCGACTCCTCTCCAAAGATATGTATTGCATATAGAAAAAGTTATTTCTTCTGCTCTCCAACCTATTCTTCAGTTTGAGAGCTTGTGCTTGGGGGCTTATTTCCATATATAAAGGTAGTATATATCCGAAGTATATAGCCTAAAACACGGTTGAAGGGCGTTAGATTGAGGAAGTTGCTGCCTTTGGTCGAGTTGTTGTAAAAAGCTCGTCTTTCTATTATTCACTTTGTGTGTTTAATTGCGCGTGTTTTTAAACAAATTTCGAGGAGTTATACGATTCTACAATGTTCACAGATTAAGGTCACGCGCTCTGAAAATACCGAGAGAGCGAAACACGCGCGTGGGAAAGCGAGGAAAACTGCGATTTTTTAGGCCCACAGAAAAATTCTTTTTGGGCTGGACACCAAGCACTTGACATTTACCGTTGCGAATCGCTGTGGGTGTAAATCGGGGAAAATCGGTTAGCAAATGTGGATTTTTCCGCAAAAAGCACACAAACTACTACTCGCTACGCGCAGCAGCTGACGATTGAGCTTTTTTCTTAATATATATTTTTTTGTTTTGCTTCTACTGCTTCTGCCTCTGCAGCGTTTTCTGCTCAGCTCTGTGTTTGTTTTGCTTTGACATGGGAAGCTTTACGCTCACGAAAAGAGAGAGAGAGCAAGCGGTTGAGCTTTCACAAGCCAGCATTTTTTGAGCGAAAAAGAACCAATGTTGCCAACTATGCTAAATATTAGGGAAAAGTAGCTATACCCGAAAATTAACAATAGCCAAAAATAGCTAAGAATTACTTTCTTACTTTTCAAAAATATTTTGTAAAGTTAAACAAATTTTGTAAATTTCCTAACTATGTAATATTTGATTATTTGGAATTTCTTAACCGTACACATTTAATATTTATTTTTGCATTATAGAAATATTTAATAAACTAAGTCTAATTTAACTTGAAATTCACCAAATGGACAGCACTTTGGAGAACAAAGTTAAAAGCTTGCTGCTGGATGTTTGATGGCGCCGCTCTCTCAAGGCCCTTATCAAGGCTATTGACGGTGCAAGCGAGATAGCAAGCATCACCAGCAGCAGCAGCTTATCACACAGAGAGCTCACCCCCTTCCGATTGGGAGAGAAAGAAAGCTAATCCCCTCCAGTATTAATGACTTAATAATTAAGCTGACGCTGTTCAATTGAAAATCATATGGTTACTGGCCCCTCAAGTACATAAGTAATCCAGGTTTAATTGCTGAGATCTTTGGTAAAGAAACTCACCTTGTTTGTGTTATTACTGCCTGTTCCTTCCTCTAATTACTGAAACCGAAGACAAACACGTTAAGAGAGGTCTGTAAGAAATAAAAGAAATGGGGTGTTAAATAGGGAATTAAACATTGATTAAATACATTAGTTTAGGGAGATTTAACATTTACAATTAAATGTTTAAATGTTTTTCAGTTTTTAAAATGTATTTAAATATTTAGTATTGATCTTGGTTTATTATTTTATTGTGGTTTACAGAAAAATATTAATCTGCACGTTAAATCACATAAAAAAGTTTTTACTTCTAAAAAAACAAACCCAATTTAAATGTTTTAAGAGTTATCAGTCTATTTTCATAAATTTCCTTGTATTAATCGTATTATATTTATTTGAAAAATATTAACAAAGAACGAACTTCTTAGGAGTAAGACTTTAAGAACTTAAATTTATTAAAAAAAAGAATTATTTCTAGTAACTCTGAGTTAACCCCAGCTGTAATTATTTATACATTTATTTGCATACAACCAAAAAAATTTCAAAAACAAAAATAAAATGAATAAAAAAACAGAAATATGTACATGAATCGGTTCAACGTCTTTGGCTTTGAATGGCGCATGGCTGTTTTTGTGCTTTTTGTTTTTATTTTTTTTTATTTCCCCTCATTTTTGTTGTTGTTGCCTTTGTGTGGGTTGCTTACATGTTTAACCAAAGTCGTTGCCTCTCGCTGCACAAAAATAAAACAGTAACAGCACAAAGTTCTCAAGTGAACAACCTGGAAAAGAAAAAAAACATCGGGAACAGCGCTACCAGAAACGTCAAAGTCAACAAACCGGGTCAAAATGGACAGCGGAAAGTTTTGAAGGCGTATCGAGTTTGGTTATATTAATAGTAATGGGAAATGTGCAAGTCATAGACTTCCCCAACAGTTGGGGAAGTCCCCTTCTTCTTGGCCTAGGTCCGAAAAGAACAACCAAAAAACAACCGAACTCTATCAATTCCGCTTGGCTTGTGATAAGCGAAGCAGTTAATCTGCTTTATTAAAATCAAATAAATCTTTAAAATTACCAACATGTGATTTTATTAGCAAAAACATGACTTTTAATAGAAACTAGGATTGTTGATAAGGAATGTGAGATTGTATTTGTATTCGAAATGGAAACATTATTGTTATGATATTTCTAAAACTAGAATACAATTTAGTAAGTTCAGACCATTTTAATTATTCAAATTAGGAAGTAGAGAACTTATTTTTAATGAAATCGAAGAAAACAAACTTGTTAATTAAGGCTTCTAAGCTTGGGAAACTGGAAATATATAATATAAATGACTGGCAGAATTCAAATATTACGTCTTTTTTTCTTATTTGTAAACATCATAATGATACCTTACTTTTACAAATGACTTAAGTCCCATTAGAGATTCCACAGATTCAATCAGCCCGCTCTATGAATGTAAATTGACTTTATAAAACAAGCAAAGGTAGTTATTTAGCGGTGACAAATAAGGGTGTAACAAGTGCATTTTATACGAAATTCTGTTCACATTTTACTCAACTAATTCACACATTTAAACAGTGAATTTTAAACTATTTCATGAGATTTGTAATATTATAATCAGCTCAGAAAGGAATAATTAAAAGAAAAATGGTCTTTTAATCTAGAATAAAAATTATAGATTATATTTCTTTAGGATTTTTCACACTAATTCCTGGATTTTCAACTTATCTAAAAATCATTTAAAAGGGCAGTTTTCTTATGAAAAGGGACAAACGAAATCTGTTTTCTTAAAGATCTTATCTCTTACAATGCGGGTAAAGTACAGGTACTGGAAGAAATATATACAAACCGAAGATAAAATATATTTTTTGAAAAGATAGAACCTACAAAATACAAACTCATGTAGTAACTACATATTAAATATGAAGAACCTATAATTATTATTGCTATAAACGAGTGAAACCTATTAATTTCATGAATTACATCAACAGAAATGTTTTTTATATAAAAAAGACAAATTAAACTTAATTTAACCTAAGCTTGTTTTATTATATTACCAACCCCTTAAACTAATTATTATTTATTAAATCTGTAAATCTAAAGTTTAGAATAAACTTCTGTAATAAGATAAGGTATACAAGTTTACTTGCTAAGACGTAGCACCCACCGTCAGTGTTGAATGCATACTGAGTATACAATGGGTTTCAAAATAAAGGCGATTGGTCGCCTATCATTATCAAAAAACGATTTGACATATCACCCAATGCAGGGTTGCCTAGATTGTTCAAACAAAACAGTATCTGCAAATCACTATAATGCTGCGTCGGCAAAATATATCGACAACTTTCCAAGTAGCCGTGTCACACTGAGAAGGCACAATGAGACTATGAAATCATGCCAGGGAGTCTCCCCAGAGGGTAGTCTGAACCTACCTCTAAGGGAATCTAAGCCTTGAGTAGCTGTGTTTACTGACGTCCGAGCCGAGCGAGGAGAGATAACCTAATCTCTTGCTCGAAATGGCGAAATTGTTTAACACAAAATGCGCCCGCCCGCCTGGCGATCGGTACTTGTCTAACGACTATAAATCGGCAGTGAGAATCGACCGGTTAGTTTGAATTTGACTCGCTAACAGTGCGGACATCAAGAATATACATAGTTGAGCATCATGATCGGTATAGTGCTGCTGATCGGGGTCGTAACCCTGCTATATGTTTACCTAAAGTGGACATTTAGCTACTGGGATCGCAAGGGTATTCCCTCGACGGGTGTGAGTATTCCCTTCGGTGCCTTGGAGTCCGTGAAACGAGGAAAGCGATCCTTCGGCATGGCCATCTACGACATGTACAATTCCACCAAGGAGCCGGTAGTTGGAATGTATCTGACCCTGAGACCCGCCCTCCTGGTTCGTGATGCTCAGCTAGCTCACGATATACTTGTCAAGGACTTTGCCAGCTTCCATGATCGTGGCGTTTACGTGGACGAGGAAAATGATCCCATTTCCGCGGGCATTTTCCAAATGGAGGGATTAAATTGGAAGACGCTGCGTAACAAGCTGTCGCCCTCGTTCACCTCCGGCAAGCTGAAGGCCATGTTCGAGACCTCTAATGCAGTCGGTGATAAGATGATAGCACACTTGAGGAAACAACTGCCCCAGTCCGGTGGTAGCCAGGAGGTGGAGCTGAAGAGTCTAATGTCGACGTAAGTGGTGGACGAGGGAATACCTGATTAGATTGAATCGTTCACAGATACCTGTTTTATTTTAGCATTTGTTTATTTGTCCGAGCAAAAAAGCTAGCCAAAGCAAGATAAGTTTTGTCACTATCTGCGCCCCAAAGCGAGCGGTTCTATTTTTAAAATCTTTCTATGGAATGATAAAAACAACAATGTTGTGTAAGGACTATCAGTTAGTAGGAGTTTTAGTTAAGCAATCCTCAAGATTTTAATAACAAAACTTTGATTCTTCAAGTGCAAGTTACTTATTGTAGTATATCCTATATATCTTATCACATCCTACAGTTACTGTATCTAAAAGATACAAGTACTAAAATCGGACTTTAATATTCTACCCTTTAGTTATGCCATCGATATTATTGCTTCGACTATTTTGGCCTGGAAGTGGACAGTTTTGTAGATCCCAACAATGAATTCCTCTCGATTAGTAAGAAATTGAATCGCAACAACTTTGAGGATATTGTACGAGGCACAACAAGTTTCCTATATCCCGGGTAAGTTAAATCTTACAAAAACATCATTTAAATATCAACAAGTCTAAGCAAAAACTTGTTTCTAGATTGGAAAAGTTATTTGTCCGATTTGGCTGGAAGCAGGAGGCCACCGAAAGGATGCGGGAATTGTCCCATCGTACCGTGGATCTCAGGGAGAAGAACAACATTGTTCGCAAGGATATGCTGCAACTTCTTTTGCAATTACGTAACCAGGGACAGATTAACACCGATGATTCCATTTGGTCGGCTGAGAACTCTAACAAAGGCCTCAAGTCCATGTCGAAGGATCTTATTGCTGGACAGCTTTTCCTGTTCTTTGTAGCTGGCTATGAGACCACAGCCTCCACATCAGCCTTTACTCTCTTCGAGCTCACCCAGAATCCGGAGGCCATGGCCAAGGCGCAGGAGGATGTGCGTCACGCCATTGAGAAACACGGCGGATTGAACTATGATGCCATTTCGGATATGAAGTACTTGGAGGCCTGCGTGTTGGGTAAGTAATGAAGGGAAACCTCTTAGGGTAAATGATTAATTTCTCTTCTTATAGAAACTGCCCGCAAGTATCCCGCTCTGCCCCTTTTGAACCGGATCTGCACACAAGATTTTCCAGTGCCGGATAGCAAGGTGATGATCAAGAAGGGCACACAAATTGTGATTTCTGTGATAGGAATGCACCGTGATCCTGAGTACTTCCCCGATCCGATGAGTTATAAGCCAGAGCGGTATTTGGATGAGACCAAGGACTACAATCAGTCTGCCTATTTGGCCTTTGGCGAGGGACCTCGTCACTGCATAGGTAAGAATATAAACTAATAATTAATTCATATTTCTGAACTGTTAACAACACAATTGTCTTAATTTTCCAGGGGCCCGCATGGGAAAGGTGAATGTAAAGATAGCGGTAGCCAAGGTTTTGTCCACTTTCAATCTGGAAATCCGCAAGGAGAAGACTGAGATCGAGTTCGGTGTAAATGGAGTGCCGCTCATGCCCAAACATGGAGTACCCGTTCGGGTTTCCCTCAAGAATTAGAAACCTAAGAAACAACCTAAACACTCGTTTATCTAGTAAATAAAATGCATTTGAAATAGAAAATCTAATGAAAATGTCAATTGGATGCACTTTTCACACGCACACACACATACACATACACAGATGCATGCACCCACCAACACACGCAAACTGCTTGTACGCACCTTTGTAAATGTAAATAGGTTTTTCTTGTTGTTGCTCCGCTTTACATAAGTCGCGCTATTTACTTCGCATCAGGGAGAATCAGAATGCACTTTCGGGTAACTCCATATGGCGGGGAAATGCACTTTTCCACAACTATGACAACACAATATGGCCGAAAAAAATACTCTTTCACTTTTTCCAGGCCAAGTTGTGTGAACTGCGCCACACAAACACACACACACACACTCGAACACGGTCGCGTACGCACGCACTCGACACGCACACTGTCGCGTTCGCGGCGATGACGATTCACGACGGGGGCCGCAATGCGTTAATTAGAGCGCCTTTCGCGGTTAATTACACTGCACTCGTTAGGCGCTGGCCCTCCGCTAATTCTTAGCAAATTACCAAATAAATACGACGAAATCTGGCGAATCAGCGAATCACTCGCTTCCCATGCTGCGGCACACACTCACACTCACTTGCGCTCGCCCGCCATGGACACATACATATGTTCGTGGGTGCTAGCTAATGGTCTGGCAACGCCGCGCTGGCTATCTGGCCATTTCACGGTTTTGGCTATTTTCCAGCGAACCAGATTTATTAAGTAAATGTATTTAACGATTTCTGTTCACTGCTCCCTATGATGAAATTAAATGGCTTTAAAAGCATATATTATTATAACATATATTATATTATATTATTATGACCGTTTAGTCTTAAAAAAACGGTTAATTAATTTGTTTGTGTTTAAAACTTGTCAGACTATGTTTAGAACTTGTCAGACTAACCTTACCAACAGCATGACATCGTGAGCGAGTTTAAAAAACATCATCTTATATTATTATTTTAAAATGTTTACACAAATTAATTAACTTTAAAAACAACAGGACATTTGAAAAAGATTTCACAAAATTATTTTGAAGGGTATTATAAATTTAGTCATAAGCCTGTTACTCTGTGAAGGACACATTTTCGATATTCTTAATTAGCAGCGACAGCCGCCTCGATCTAGCTATGTGCGGCAAACATTTAATTTTTTTAATAAATATTTTATTAGGTGTTACGACGGTAAAATTGTCAAATATGTTACCTTTCGTAATTTTAAATTGAGTATGCCGAGTTATAAACATGTTAAAAACTAAGACAGGAACACTCTCCGAATTTAAATAAATGCTTTTTTGACTAAGTTTTGAGTTTTTAAATATTTAATTTGTCGAAAAAAATTGTCATATAAAAATATCGGTACACAGAATGAGAATATTTTAAGCTTAGTTATGATCTAATTGCGATTCCATCTTCTAAAAAATGCAAGCAGCAAATAAATACCAAAATTTTCGTTCCGAAGTTATTTTGTTTTTATAAGATAAATAATGACTGATATTGCGGATTGATATTAATCAATACATTTTTCTGCAGCTTACTTTTACTAATCTAACTAAACATAACTAAATTATAGGTTCGAGTTAGGTAAGCTATTATCTGTTTTGTACATACACACAAGGTTAGCATTGCTTTTAATTAATTAATGTGTTTATTTATGAGCTGAAGATCTTTGTTGACTAGCTTGAAACGAGCTAGATTCTGTGACAGGTGGCAGCCTCTCTCTATTCATGTTTCTCTACAAACAAGGTGGCAACGCCGTGCTGTATTTTTCGGCTGATGAAAATTTGACCAAATAAAATCAATTAAATTCAGCGTAAAATCAAATTAACAAAGAAATGTACAAGTGCATAGCATAGAAAAACGTAACTTTCACCGTACGCGAGTGCGGAAACTAGAAACGAAGCAGGCTATCGCGTGTGTGTTAGTGCGTAGCTCGTAAATTGTAAAGCACACACACCTAGGGGCACACAGAGCGAGACGGAAATAGCAGAGCCCCAACTATTTACTTTGATCACCACGTACTAACTAGTGGACACGCCAGGTGAATCCATGGACGGTAACAAGGACGAGGCTCAGCGCTGCATTGACTTTGCAGTGCAGGCGCTGGCCGAGGGCAAGATCGAGAAGGCCGAAAAGTTCCTGATCAAGGCGGAGAAACTCTATCCTACGGAGAATGCGAAAAGTAAGGATAATGGGAGGGAGTAAATCCTTTGGGGTCGCCTAAAACTCAATGAGCAATGAAATAATTAACTAAGAGCTTTATATGGGTGAGGCTTGTTATCATAATGAGTTTGGGCCTCCGGCTAGCTTACTAATTTATTGATAATGCGCTTGTGGGATTGGTATCTTTGGGAGTCTTTCCTATAGTTTTTTAATAATATTCCAAACTCAGTAGATAAGCCACAAGAAACTCAAACAAATAGTGTTAAGTTTGTTAAAATTGTCTACCTATTAGTTATGTGAAATAGTTTTTAAGAACTAAATTTTGAGCTAGTGATACCTTCAAGAAATAACCCAGAACCCATGGTAGCCCGATTATTAAAGCGCTACTGAACTATAATACCAATAACAAGAATAATAAGCTATTTTAATCTGTCAAGTTTAATCTTATCATTAGTTTAGAAACGTTAGTTTGGTTATCGATACTTTGTTATCAAGTATAATGGTACCATTTTGATCAAAGCAGCTGTATCTTTATTATTTAAAAAAGTGGCAAAATAAGATTAAATATTTAGAGGATAGTCTTCCTTGGGGGATTTTTTCATGGGAATTTTTTGAGGGTTTCTTTCTAAGTTTTATACTTGGCAAGACAGTTTATTATTTTTATCCTAAAAACAACCACGTAGGTATATCTCCGATATTTGACCTTTGACTCATGACATACATTTGATCTTTGCAGAGCTGCTGGCCCAAGTGAAGAGCAATCCCAGCAGCAATGGCAGCAATGGCAAATCTCGACCTGCAGCAGGTGGTGGCACCGATGAGAAGGACACCGGTCCGAGGAAGCGTGTGAATTCAGATTCACGATCCAGTGCCCCAGATTATACCAACGATCAACTGGAGGCGGTGCGAAAGATTAAAAAGTAGGTTGCTCTACCATGTCCTTCTCCCTTCCAGTTTATATAATTTATAATCCTTTAGGTGCAAGGACTACTATGAGGTATTGGGTGTTACCAAGACTGCAACGGATTCGGAGATAAAGAAGGCATACAAGAAGCTGGCATTGCAATTGCATCCGGACAAGAACAAGGCCCCGGGATCGGTGGAAGCCTTCAAGGCTCTGGGCAATGCTGCCGGCGTCCTCACCGATGCCGAAAAGCGAAAGAACTACGATCTTTATGGCATCAACGAGTCGCATAATGGTCATAACAATGGAGGAAATCACCACGGGCAGGGCCAGTACTACAACCACGAGTACGGCTATTCGCGTGGCTTCCAGGCCGACATCAGTGCCGAGGAGCTGTTCAATATGTTCTTCAATGGCGGCTTCCCGCAACAGAATGTGTATATGAGGCAACAGCGTCGGCGTCATCAAGCACGCGAGGATCGGGAGGTGAGAGTGCCTAATTTTATTATCTCTATGCCTATTTACACATTACTTTCTATTTTCAGGGCAACAATTCATCAGCTTTGATCAACTTATTGCCCATCTTGCTGCTCATTGGCCTGTCTATGATGTCATCCTTCTTTATCTCGGATCCTATGTACAGCCTCACGCCCTCACAGTAATTATGGCTTCAAAAATCCACCAAAGATCAGAACTAATCAAGTCTCTTATATTATCTGTAGTAAATATTCGGTGAAGCGCGAGACTAATGGCCTGAAGATTCCCTATTACGTCAAGGACAACTTCTATTCAGAGTATCAGGGCTCGGTGGCACGTCTAGAGGAATCCGTAGAAGAGGACTTTGTGAATCATTTGAAGCATTCTTGCAGTCGAGAACGGAATTATCGTGAGTTTTTTGGCTAACTTTCTTAAAGAGCAAACTTTTAACAAGTATATTTGACCGCATTTTACAGGAGACTCAATGTTGGCTAAAGCAAGGACCTTTGGCGATCGGGACTTGTATCGAAAGGCGCAGAATATTAATACGCCGTCGTGCGAGAATTTGCAAAAGTATTTAATCACATAAATTAGTTAGATGTTTGCTGCTACACGAAAAATCTTCATATTTCCCATATTTTAAAGCTTTAACTGGGTTGTCGTTTGCTTAGTTGTTATAAATGAATTTCATTATCTTTGTTTTCTGTTTTTATAATTTATAAAGTCTGTTTAAACTATTTTTCCTCCCTCTCTCTCCCTATGAATGTACAGCATAGTGCTGATGCTATGACCCTTCAGGTCTTTCCTAACAACAAAGAGCACGATCTATCTGATCGAATGGCATGTAGAAAATTATTTTAGAGCAATCGGCGAAGCAAACTGCAAACTGCCAAAAAAAAGTCATATATTTACGAGTATAAGTTGGGAGACTGCTGAGGCGAAGAAGTACTATTGTTTTTATCATTTAGAAACATGAATTGTAACAAGAATGGTACGCATATTGATCACATAATTATTGATAGTCAAATTGTCAACGAACGGATGATGGATAATAGCTGATGATGGGCCACTGGCGGTACTCTTGAATAAAAATTGCAAGTTATCTCTTTACACCAACAAATAAGTCTTTTTCTTCAGTTTTTTTTTGGGGCTTGAGTGTTTTCTTTTCTTGTTTTCTTCGCTAGCGTTTATAAATGTACAAATAATGTCAGAGTTATGCTTTTCCAGAGCACCTCAGTTGCTAATGATGGCCTCCAGGGCGGCCACCACGTCGCCGCTTTGTTCGCGGAGCACCTTCTCGGCCTGCGACCTGCTAACAAGCAGCTCGTTCATCTGTAAATTGAAACGAGGAGAGATTTCCATTAATTGAGATGGTTTAAAAGAACTTTAAGCAGGATCCATTAAAGGTTAAGAGGATCCAAAGATCTATTCTTAAGAGGTACGTACAATTAGTTCGATATCCTCCTTCTTTACTTGCACCTTCTGGAGTTCCTGTTCCTTGGCCACTCGCAGTTCGTTTTCCCTGTTGAGCTGATTGCCAAACTGTTCCACAGCCTATAAATAATAAAGAAAACTTTAGTTAATAATCTTTTCCTTATATATTTAATTATTTAAGCGAACTTACGCTGGATATGTTGGCTGCAGAGATTTCCTTTTCCTCGGCATAATCCGTAACACGCTCCAAATCTGTGGATATTATATATTTTAGGTATTGTTTATCAAAAATTATTTATAAAATTATGCAGGAATTCTACATGTTTAGCTATAAAACCCTTGAATCATTTTCTCTGGTGGCGGTTTTGCGGGGGTTGTTGAATGAACATTTACCTGCGGCTCCATCATCGTGTCGCTTGGCATCGGACTTCTTTTGTTTCGAGTCCTGCTCGTCGTCCTCCACCTCAGTACCGTTAATTTCCTCAGTTTCCGTCATTTTGGGACTGATATTTAAGTTAATTTATTAAAATTTTGGTTGACTTGTATTTTTTGTTCGAGCACCTCGTGCGATTAGTGATGGGACAATAGCAATAGTCATACCGATATATCGATTGTTGAGAGTAGATGTCAGCCTGCTGTTATTTTAACCTAGTAATTACTTTAGAATTTAAGAATATATTAATTAAAACCATAAATTATTGCTTGATAAATACTTATAATCACAAGAGATACGCAGACAATTTTGGTTTTTAATATTTAATTATTAAATATTGATAAGGCGAACCAGCTGGCTGTTCTACAGATAATCCTTAGCAGTTCCACCCGAGCTATATTGAAATAAAAATGTATCAAAATTATAAAAATTGAATTCGGCCGGCTATATTCAGTAAATTTTAAAAGTTGATAAGTATTGTTATAATATTTTACTTGTTTTTGCAATTTTAAGTAAAAATAATGTCATCGATGTTTCGATAGGCTCTAACCTTACGTTACGACTTATACGTTTTCGTTCAGTTACGTTGCTTTGAATACGTGTCTGTTTAGCCATGTTCCACACCTTATTATTTGTGCTTTAAACCTTTTATAAGATGGTTTATAACGAAAACTTGAAAACCTTATTTAAATATTTGAGAACCAACAATTTTAGTTTAAATATTTATTATTTATAGTTTTTTGAAATTTTATTTTTTCTTTGTATACCAAAATTTATATAAATGGTTTTAAAACCCCTATTGTATTTTAGTTTCGTCTGTAATTTATTATGTATTCTTTAACATCTATACAGCTTTTAACGGTTTTAGTATTAACGATTTTTAAAACTCTCATTTAAAAAATATATTCTTAAGTATAAAGAACAAACAATAATTTTTATATAGAAATATAAATATGTATCACTTTTCATTGCTTTTAATTTCCTAAACTTAAAGTATGTGGAATAAGTGCCTTTATATTAGTTGCATTATTTTTAACTGATTTAATTTGAATGTTTCCTTGAATTTAAATTTAGAACAAGTTAAATTTCTAAAAATAATTTAAAAGTAAAGCTTCAGTTTATGTGTCAACCACAAAACTAATTATAAATGTCTCGCACATAAAATCCAAGCCCCTGCAAGTATCCTTTTTTTTATTTGCTTGTTGTATCTTTTTGCAAAATTTTTGTGTGTTGCGGTCAAAATGTTAATTATAAGTTTGATGCCCGCATCTAATTAGATTTTGCAACACCAACGGAGACACGAATACTAGCTCAACACCCATGGAAGTTCGACTCCTTGGGGGGCTTCTATGTTCCTCTGAAGAATATATATATATATAAATATATATGTATATGTGTGTGTGTGTTGGGATGTCCTGTTGACATAATCGTTTGGCATCATGATTAATTTAATTGTCACTTTGACGAAAGGACACTCGCACACACTCTATATCCACCGACTGCTTCCTATCCTTTGGACTTTGCTTCTGTTGAAAATCAAGATTAATTAGTATCCATGACCATGGGCGGTCAACATCATTTGTTAAGGGGGGGTTGTGTGTGGTATGCGGGGGCGAGTGTTGGAAAATGAGGAGGGTCCTGAAGCATATGTGCACTGCATTTAATTCGATTTTATTTTTTCGGCAGCCAGCGGGTTTTTTTCGCCTGAATTTTGTATGCAAAGCGCGAGTGACACGAAAAATAGGAAGGGAACTTTGAATAGGGGAAATGATTTGATAGATTTATGTCACAGATTCTCCTAAAGGGGACTATATTGCTAATAAATATATTTATTTTTCAGATTAAACATCTTGAAATTTAATGCTTGAAAATTAAAATGTGACACTGAAAAAGAAAGAAATTCTTTATAACGACATTAGCCTGGAGGAAAATAGGAAATCGTCCTTAAAGACATGCCTAAGTTTTATTTTTGTAATTTTTTTAAGCTATATGTGTATCCTAGAATATGTAAATTTAGTTTTTCTTATTATGAAGATATTTTTTCTGGAGTTTAAATACTTTCTTAAAATATCTATTACAAAGGATTCCCCAAAACTTGTAGTAAATGATGCAACAGGGTTTGCATTATAATTTTTCCAACTTTTCCTATACGTTCTCTACACTTTTCTGGCACTTTCCTGTTATTTTCCCCCCCTTTTTGCGCCAATTGGAAATGAAATTATGGCGCTAATTAGCGCAGCACATAAATTAAGTTGGCAATTTCGGTTGGCATTGTGGTGTTTGCAATGCCAAATCGAGCATTGCATATCTTTGGGGGTATTGTGCCTGTGTGTGCGTGTGTTGCTTGGCTCCCAAAAAATTCACACAGTAAATTTTCCTCTTTTTTTTCGTTTGCAATTTTCCCAGAGGAAAAGAGACCGCGTGACGTAATTTAACTTGCATTGTCTTTTCCAAGGGCGAAATTTCTGTGTCGCTTTTGTTGTTGTTTTTTCTCTTTGCGGTGGTTACTTTTACGTTTTACATTCCGTTTTATTGTTTTTTTTTGTTTCTTTTTTTTATGTGGTTATTGTTTATTTAATTTTTGTTGGTGTGGCTTTAAGTGTGTGTGATGGAGATGCAAGGATAAGGGTGACGGCGACACGCCATAAATGTGTTATCGGGGATTGTGTAATAATTTAAAAGTTTCAAAAAATGTTTGATAGATGTCTCGTATATTTTTTATTGCTAACTTAAAGTATTACTTTTGAAGATGAATTCGCATTTCTTTGAATAAATAAGAGTCCTTCAAACAACATTAAAGAGTTTTATAATGTAGTTCCTGAGTAATCTTTTCAATTTATAAAAAGTTTTTAAATCGAATTCTTAGGATATTGTAACAATTAAAATATTTAACTTTCTATGGGAAAAGGATTTCATTGATAAAGCTTAAAAGCCTTTAATTTCTTGACTTTAAGTCTGTTGCAATTTTAAACCTTATACAAGTTTTGATTAACATTTTTCCATTTGGATTACCATTTGCGTTTCTAATTCCGCAAATCAAATTAAAGTCAAGGATTTGCCAATGAGCATATGATTTTCAATATTGTCATACCTTTCCTCCCGAAAAATCAAAATTCCTGCATTCTTAATGAAGCCACTCAATCCTCCATTCAATTTTGGGGGAATTCCCTTCATGAACTGAATGAATGCTAGATGCAATTTGGAGTGCACTTACAATTGAGGTGATAAAAATAGTACTAGAATTTGATAGGATAAATAAATATGATGATTTTTATAGCTAATAATAATAATAATAATAATACAAGTATTAAAATATTTAATCGATTTATTTAAAGTTGTAATGATTATAAGGATTTTGGGAATAGAAGCTATCATTAGAAAGGACTTTAACAAAAATATATCAAAGGATATAAGCTACCTAGACTTAAGAAATAAAATCGATGAAAACAGAAGCTTTCTTTATTATATTTAAATATTTATTATAATAAGTGCTAATGTTAATAAATTTTGGCTAAACTTAAAGCACATTTTCAAGGTTTAAACAATGTTCAAATATTTTTAAATACATAATAATGTTTTGAAAACTAAAATAGTATATTATAATCTATTAAAGAAAATGTTGTATTAAATTTGGCACATCTTCCATTAAGATTATTTTATTTTGAAAACATTATAAGTCCTATTTTCTTGGCCGCTCTTTTAACACATGCATTTGTCCACTTGTATCCTTATCCTGCAACGAACAGGATTATGTCTGTGCCAAAATGACATTGGGAATCGTGGATGTGGTTATGTCTGTGCCTGCCGTGGGGTCAGTCAATAAATAAATTTGCATAGCAAATAAATTAAGAAAATGCAATTTTCAAGAACTGTTGCGCTGCGCAGGAGTTTCTGTAATTTGCATTTAAATGCCCCAAAATTCAAGGACAGCCTTTAAAATTTTGGGGGAAACCGTCAACCGGACTTCGTCCTCTGGAGCTGTAAGCTTCTGGCTCATTGCATGCATAATTGGCTAGCAAACTCAATTACGTTAATAACACTCCACAGCCCGGCTCAAATGTAGTGAGTGTCCTTAAATATTTATGGGTATGGGTGTGCGCTTGACTGACGCCACGAAGGAATTATCCTTGTAGCAACCAAGTTATAGCGAACCAACCAAAAAAAAAAAGGAAAGCGAAATAATTGAGCCATTGAAGGCGCTCGAATGGTCAGCAAAAGTTCCGACTCTAACTGATAGCGAAGTAGGAAATCTTGCTCCTTTGCCCAAGGATACCCTAGGAGGGAGCGAGGAGTAGTTATCCTTGAGGTGGAGAGGGTACTGTGTTGGCGAAGGCGACCTATTGACGACCTTTATCGGGCTGTACATAAACCATAATCGCAATTGGCAAGTGGTCGCCACTCGAGGAAGCATCCTTTTCGCCATTGTCATGCTTCACAGGATGGACACACAGACACCGTTTCGCTGGCACACACGCACTGTAAAAAATAGTGATTTAATCATTTTATTAAATATATTTCAAGGGTAATTAAATAAGGTTTTTTGTCAAAAGTAATTTGTTTTATACTTTCATAATGTCTTTTAATCATTTACATATGTTAAAACATATTTTTAGTTAGCTTATTTTGTACTTTGTATCTTTTAATAATATTTCCCCTCTATAAATCATTGTTTCTATATTCTATAAAAATTATTTTCAGTGCATTTTCTTGCCCTGGGCATTGGCCAGTTTGGAACGCATCGAACGGAAGCCGCTGGTCGTTCATTTAAAACTTGTCTGCAACTTGCCAAGTCGCTTCTCCTTTTGCTCCTTTGCTCCTTCCAAAAAAAGGAAGCTAGGTGCAAAGCTTCAAGTGTGTGTGTGTGTCGTAAAGTCCTGCTTCCGTTTCCCCTTTCCAGCCGCATGAACTTGCCTTGCCATAATGTATCTCCTGACATTTTGCAACTTTTGCGTTTAACAATTTCGCTTCCTTCCGCTGGCTAAACGGCGCCAGGTTGTCGTGGAAATTTGTTTTAATCGTCATCTTTGCCATCTACGTAAGCGTTTCCCTATCTTCTCAGTATTCTTAAGCCCCCAACCCCCTTCCTCTCCTCACCAAGGTTCGTTGACAGCAACTCCTTTTGGGGTTATCGATGGCCTGCTCAATATTTTATTAGTGTCG